ATATATATATATATATATTCTCTTCAAAATCTGTTGTTGAGATTTAACTGACTGTAAAATTAAGTAGACCTATAAACATTTTATTATTCTATCAAAAATACTTATCTCAATCAAATACACAATCATCCTTTAAATTCAGATTTATTTGCTTTAATTCATCCATCCATCCATCCATCCATCCATCCATCCATCCATTATCTTTAACCTGTTTCTTCCTTTCCGGGTTGTCGGGGTCACTGGTGTCGATGTTCTGGCAACCCGGCTGACACTGAAACTACAGCGTTTTCATGTAAACCCGCTCATTTTTTGTTTATTTCCCAGTAAACACTGAAAAAAACACTAAAGTTTCCAGGTTGTTCTCGTGTAAACGGGGTTTTATATCAGGCAGATCACTTTGACTTGGTCATTTTAAAAGGAGCTTCGTTCTGAAAACGTCTGGACACCCCGATATAGAGTTACCAGTTAACCTAACATTATTATTATTATTGTTTTAATATGAACCAAATATTACTATTTTTAATTAAACGATTCAAAAATAGACTGAAGCTGCCTTTTATGTTAAATTGCAACAGAAGCCAGAATTATCGACCTGTTTTAACTGTTTAAGGCATGGATTTATTGATTTATTGATCTGAAATAAACTCTTGAACTGGTTTCCTGTGAGGTGTGAACACCGGAGGAGTTGGCAGCTACATCTACGATGACCCTGAAGCCGAGGCGCAGCCCTAAACTCAGCCGGACCAACGGAGACCTCCAGGACCCTCGGCGTCTCGTTGATCTGCCTTCGACAGTCATCGTAGTGACAAATGATATGTAGACTCGCAGGGAGGGAGGTTTAGATATTTATGTTGTATTTGTATATTGTTTATATTATCTATTTTTTGTACTGAGACAAACCTTTAACAGTCCTCCTGCGTGAGATTGAGGTTTACTTTTAGGTTCACCGGTTCCCTCTGCCAAACAGTTATTAAGCTTTTGTTGTAGTGGACTCGGCTCCTGTGTTTCTCCTCCTTTACGAGTAGGATTAGACTTTCGTGCACTTCCAACATGTACTGTATGACCACAAAATGTAATGGCCCACCTTTCTATCGTCAGTGTTTTTGAATCCTGGTTTTAAAAGGAACGATAAAAGTTTGAAAGATTCCCACAAACAGTGTTTTCTGCAGGATGCTCCGCTGGTCGTCCTGTTTTCTACAATAAAACTGCAGAGAAACGGACCTCGGTTGTGTTTGTGTACTTGTATACAGAAACTGTGCACAGGCATTTCATATGAAATGTTTTTACCACACAAGGAAACAGATGTTATTTGAATTACGTCTACAAAATTAAATACAAACATGAACACAAGTGATTTAAGGTGGTATAAATAAAAAAATAAGTTTCAATCCTCCACCACTGACCGTTAACGACGACTCGTTTGAGAAATTAAGAAGTTAATTATAAATAATCTCTTGCACAGAAGACAAATTACTAATTTTACATAACCAAGAATTGGACAGCACGACTGTTTAGCGGTTACAACAGGAAGGTCCTGGGTCCAATCCCCGGTTTGGACCTGGAGTCTTTCTGGGTGGAGTTGCCTGTTCTCATGTTTGTGTGGCTTTTCTTTGGTTCTCTGGTTCCAATCTTAACACGGCCTCCTTGCAAAAGAGATCTGATTAGAAAAAGGTTAATAAATAAATAAATAAAACGACACCTAACAGATAAAAATGTTTATTTATTGTGTTAATAACAGTCTGAAATACACGTACTTTAAAAAAAAAAAAAACATAAATGTTGCTAAACTTTTTTTTAATCCATGTATTTTTTTCTTGTCAGTGGCAATATTACTGTACTTACAAAGTACTGTACACCAAAGTTTTGAAGCACTTGGATATAAAATGTAAGAAATTAATAATTATTAAAGCACCCTAAAATGATTTAGCCGTTTAAAATAAAGTCAGTTTGTTTGTGTCTTCCTGGCAGTTTGTTGTGACCTTGCTTTAAAAAACGTAGCAATAAAAAATGTCATACGTCACTGACAGGAAACGGACAAGCCGCGCCCCTTTCTGAGAAAAGGAAACCGGAAGAAGAAAACAGATTTAATGCACAGCGACGAACAGGAAGTTACTCTTCAAAATAAAGCTTTTAAAACATCAGCTAAAATGACTGCCACTGTACACAGCACTTTAAAGCCTTTTAATATAATAAAGTTACTGCTTATAATTGTTCTCCAAAAACAGATTTTACAGTTAATGAATACTCATTTTACATAACCATAAACTGGCAATTATAAATCTACTACTAATCTACTATTTCTACATGCTTTAGCTGTTTTTTTTGTTACATTTTTAATAGCATTTTATTTTCACTTATTCTAAATTTGTATTCTTCCTGTTAAGATTGTCTATTGTTGTCTATGTTGTCCACTGTTGTCATTACCCTTTGTTAAAATCAGGTGTAAATGAGTCCCCGAGGCTCAATGGGATTAACTTGTATAAATAAAGGTTGAACGAAGGAACTGAACTGGCCCAGTGGTGTAACAGTTAAATATTATATTATTATTAAAATTAACACCATTTCAAATGGACCTGAACACATATATAATGATGAAAAAAAATACTAGTAAATTTGATTCACTAGTGACATTTTAAAATGCTAATTTTAGCAGCATTGAGCACCTTCTCAAAATAATTTAGGTCAAATTATAATAAAATATAATTTGAAAAAACTTACACTCAGGGTAACAACCCCAAGCTGTTACAGTATTATCAAAAGTTGGTATTTGTAAACAAAAACTATGAAATTATGAAAAAGTTTTAACATTTTTACAATCCTGTGCATAAAATATGACCGCCTACAAGCTGTTCATGTACGTGAAGTATGTAAAACTTATTTTTATATCTCTTTTCGAAGTATAACAAAATACAAAAAAAAGTAGATTTTCATGAACATCAAACACAAATGTTTTAAAATTTTTATTGTAAGTTTAAATGTAAATTTATTAAGGTCTATAATATCTTGCAATAGCTAATGAGATAATTTATCACTATTTTAATTACATAGTCTCTATATTTCCTGTCTGATTTATTTATGTATTTATTTTTTTCATTTCACCTTTGTTTAACCAGGCATAAACACTGAGAACAAATTCTTATTTACAGTTCTGACGTGGTAGTTTATTTATAATCATCGTTATTGCTGTTTATTTGTATCATGACTGTAAAAAAACGTGTTAAATAAAAAAATTGAACTCGTCCGCCACTTCCTTTTACTTTGAAACAACTTAACGGAAGTGCTGTGTTTGACTTTAGCTAGCTTAACGTTGAGCCGCCCCATCACTCACCTTTATCAGCCATAACAGTTCCGCAGCGCCACATCACAAAACGTCGTCCAACGACCTTTAAGGGGCCGCAGGAATTAAAGACCCACCAGAATCCAACCGGGAGCTTCTGAGAACACGATAAGACATAATTATTTATTTATTTTTTAATCGCTACCCGCGTGTTGACGTCGACAACCGAAGTTAGCTCCGAAGCTAACTGTTAGCCTGTGACGTTGTTGACCAAAACAAGGAGTTTCACAGCCTGTGTATGTTTTCATCACTCCCACGAGATGTTGGACGGAACTCCTGCAAACGGTGATGAAGCCTTCAGTGGCAACGTGGAGAACAACAACCCGGTACCGGGCGCAAGAGTTCTGAAGCAGCTGCTGGTGAAGAAAGGAGGGAGGAAGCCGCTGCTGCATCACCAGAAACCCCCAAGAAGCTGCCCGAGCATCCGCCTGTCGGACCACAACAACAACTCCCTCCTGACCGCCTCACCGGGACCCAGACCCGCGGCCCAGACCCATGTGCCCATCATCAACCAGAACCTCCATCATGTGAGACAAGGAGCCAAGAAAGAGGCAAGTTCTCACCAACAGGCCTCACTCAGACAAACAGCATGACGTCAGTTTATCTGATGAAATCAGGGTTAACTCCTGAAATACATTTACTGAAAGGGTTTGAATTAAACCTACAGTATTACATGTTTTTATGTATTTATAGTGGGTTTTTAGTTCATTTGTGATCATTTTTGCCAGCAAATTCACTCTAAATTATGTAAAACTATTAATAACATACAAATAAGGATTTTAAAATTAAACTCGTAAGTTATGTTGAAATTAAAAACTGCCCGAGGCTTTCGTAGTGACGCAGCACAGACTTGTGAAGAAGTGGAAAAACAAGCACAACATCCTGTTTCTGATTGTGTCACAGCTTCAGGTCCGTCTGTAAAAACCAAAGACGGGAAGAACCAGGGTTGTGCAACATTCTGAGTTGAATGAGGAAATAAAAATAAATTTAAAATGCTGTTCATAGTCTCTAAAGTTCATTGGTTTTCCCTGACATGCAGCACATGTCCAGAGGAAGGTAAAAACGCTCGAAGGTGAAATCAAGTTTTTAATCATCATCATGACTCAACGTCACGAGTTTAATGAACACAATGAGGCGTGTGGCTGGAGACGGTGCCGTGTCAACAAACTGATGCAGAATTAAATTTACCAGCTGTTCTTTACTTCATATAACTAATAATGTCACACTCAGGGTATAAGTTGTCAAAGACTCTCAGCTACTACCACACAGAATGTTTGCTCGTCATCTGGAACATCGACTGAGATGTAGCTACGCTTGTGCAGACTCGATTTTTAATCGTGCATCGTACATTGACTAGCATATTTAGCCACATCTACTAGCATATTTAGCCACATCTACTAGCATATTTAGCCACATCTACTAGCATATTTAGCCACATCTACTAGCGTATTTAGCCACATCTACTAGCGTAT